CAGCCTCAGCGGAGTGTCCAAGGTCGGCTTCGCTGCCGTCTGGGACTACATCCACGACACGGGGTTCACCATCGAAGGAGAGGAGGATGCAGCCATCGTTCTTCGCGATGCCCATCGCCTCCAAGTCGATCGGCTCTGCGATATCGTTTGCGGGGAATTGATCGAATTGCTGAATCCGGAAAATGCGTTCCGCATACTAGCTACGGCCGAGTCCATGGCGCGGGAAGATCTCAGGGACGGAGTGGTCACGTACATCGCCCGCACGTTTTCAGAAGTCATCCAGACAGACGAATTCCTCAACCTTTCTTTCAAAACACTGAAGCTTTTCTTGGAAAAAGACGAAGTGAAGGTCTCATCAGAGCAAGAAGTATACGAAGCAACTCGTCGATGGATCGATCACGATGAAATTAGAAAGGAATTCCTACCCGAGCTGATGGAACGAGTCCGGCTTCCCCTGCTGCCTCTCAAATACCTCGGCGCGAATCTGCTCCGCGATCCACTCATGTACGACGATCCCAAGTGCCTTCGCCTGGTCATGGAAGCCAAGGACTTCCACCTGCCCGAGCTTCGAGATACGGTGCCACCGGAAAAGACCAAGGCTCGTCGAGTCATTCCAAAAGACCTTTGGTGCTTGGGGATGAAGAACAACGAGAAGAAGATGTTCCGCCTCACCCCAAGGAAATGGAAGTGGGAACTGGAAGACGTTGCCGTCTGGCCATTTCGTGATGGTGGTACCCTTGCGGCAGTCGAAAGGAAGCTTTTCGTCACTGACGGAACGGAACTCCGTATTTTCGATCCATACGCGGATGAAGCTATTTGGGAGGACGGGCCACAGGTACCTCAGTCATACCAGAAGAAATGGGCAGCTGCCGTGTCCATGCCTGACTCTGGATCCTTCGTCGTATGCGGATGTCAGAAGTCAGTCGTTCGATTTGCTCTGGGAAGTAGTCAGTGGTTGCATCTCTGTGACATGCAACACGGTGCCGACGGTGCAGCTGCCGCATATCAGGACTCTTGTCTCCATATCATTGGGGGATTTCAAGATCGCTTCCACACGTATTTGTCAGCGGATGACATCTTGGATCACATTAACAAGCATGCCAATTATGGCCCAATTTTTCACGAGACTTCTCATTGCATGACCGTCCTGAAAACCCATCAACGATTGGATTTGAGGACCAACAAATGCGAGGAACTGAAAGAGATCCCTGAAGCTAGGACCCATTCAGCAGCTACTTTCCACGACGGAGCGCTCTACGTATCGGGCGGAGACGGCGCGACGGACTCGTACGTCTACGATGCCCCAGGGAACGCATGGCGCACGTTGGCCCCCATGAAGGAAAGCCGACAGAGGCATGCGCTTGTGTCTTTGGGTAACAAGTTGTATGCTATCGGGGGAACTGGGAATCCTTCCATAGAGGAATTCGACGGGAGCGAGTGGAAGATGTGCGAGAGATTAGATATGCAGAGTTGTGAAAGAGCCTGCAAGTTCTCCCTATAGAGGCGGATTTTCCCTTAGGTCAGACAGGCATCGTTTTTTGTCATCTTCGTTTGTGTGAGTGCATCGTGCAATGTCCTACGTATCGGCTTGTTGTTTTCTTGCAGCTGAACAGCAATATTCATGTACTGAGAATTATTTTCCGTGTTTCCTCTGAACCATAACTAACGCTTGATCCTTTTCTTAAGAAGTGAAATTCGCATTTAAATACCTTGATTCGACTTGGCCCAATCTTGCCTCAAGTGACGATGAAGATCATATCGAGCAATGTGAAATAAAACATTGTTGACCCAAGACTCTGATGCTTTTCCACTTCGCAATCGATTGGCGGATGGTCATCATGAAGTCTCATTTCTCCACATCAGCGAGATTTCAGGGTGCCTGCTGAGAAGATATGACGGGCGAGCATGAGGCAGCCTGAGAGTATATGACCGCTTTTAAGCATGTATTCAATAGAATATGTAACTAGAGGTGACACTCCGAGGGGTGGGGGGTCGAAATGTTACAGAGACATCTGGTGGTTTGTTATTAACACTTCCATGAGGCGTGCTTCGTTGCAGCGGAATCGGGAATGGAATTATTCCTGGATTCGACCCAGAGGGATCCCTCAACGTAACACGCGTGTCTCGTTGAGTCCGCTGCTCGGCCATGGAGGAGTCGTTGTGCGGACGCTAGGTGGAGGATCGACAGTGACATATATTCCATATTCCGACCCCGTGGGATTCAAGGGATTCAAGCGGAGTGGAAGCCTCTAGTTATACTCTCTTTGTTTTAAGCAGGAATTATCCCCTCCTCCCCCCGGACCTCATTTGCAAGGGTCGGATAAGTGGTGTAATCGTCATGTTAGCTGACGGCTCGTTTAACACGGGTTTATGGAGGGGCATAAGTAAACTGAAGGCCACTCGAAAATGGACGGAATATCCTTTGCTTGGAGGACAATCGAATGCTTCAACCTTCTGTTTGCTCTCTCAGATCGAAAACAGGCAGTGCAGGGAAAGGGTTCGAGAAAATTAATCCGCCCTAAGCAATAGAAATTACAGGGAAATAAAAACAACTGATAACCGAGCTCGGGATGAAATTAACGTTTGTAACTGCTACAGATTCACAATTCAGTGCTGTAGCGGATCTAGAAGGCCACAAAATAGCCACTAAATTTAGAGAGTTTGCAATTTCTTTAACTCCTATGACAAAACGACTCAAGTTCTTTGCACATTTTTTTTTGCGGGTCAGAGTGGTGGCGTGATCTAATGGCTTCGCGTCTGTGGCGGTGCAGGGGATCGATGTTCCTTCGACATTAACTAATGTTAATGCGGATGATGGTAGATCGGATGCAAGGGTTCGGAATGAAGCCCTCGACTCATGTCATCGGTTCTTTCATCGGCAAGTGAAAGAAAAAGGTTTCAGGCGAAGGAAAGGGCTGAGATGAAGGGGGCTGGTACATGCCCCATGGTGAGGGCGAAAAGGGGTGAAAGGAAGAGCATCAGTGGGCAACGAGAACATGGCAATTGCATGCTTTTGGCTCATAGGTTCATGTTGACCCTCGTACTGAAAGAGACGCCAAAATCTCTTTTCTGTAAATGGATGGGTGATTATTGATAGACCCTGTTCGCATCCACAACAAATATGTTCTCACGCACCTGAAGAAGTTTCACTCCGTCTTATGAGCCATCTTTGAAGCAGTATTCATCTCTTTCTTAGATGATGTTTTTTTTTTAAATGCATGTTAGACCGAAAACTTCGTTTCAGACAGGTCAGAGAAGAGATCATCCTGAATAAAGTCGTTCATGGGGAAAAAGGAATCGAGAAAAAATTAGTCCTTTACTGTCTGGTTTCTCATTGTTTCCCCTCCACTGTCTGCTTATTAATTTCCTTTCGGGGGAATGCAGAAGGAGGTTCTCCTTTCCCAGCCACTCGGGTTGTGAAGAATGAAGTCGGTTGGGAAACGCCATCCACGGGAGACGTACTGGGTAACGAGTAATGCCATGCATTTATTCCATTCATATCACCTAAATGTAGAATTCTCGCCCCCCCCCCCCCCCCCATGACTTCCCCATGACTTAGAACTGACAATCGCTTTCCTGTCCCCGGGCGAAACTGCTAGACCTCATCGATGGAATGGTGAAGGTGCAGAAAGTAACCTTCCTGGACGGGAGATTTTGCCCGGAGGAGGGGATTGGTCTTTTTCGGGGAAGAAACGAAGTCGAGAGGGAGCTCGGAGGAGGAATTGCTCAGAGGAGGAATTGAAGGTAGGGATCATGAAGCTCTTGCATTTTGGCCATGAGCGGGTTCCTCTAATGATGGAGTCCCCCCCCCCCCCAAAAAAAAAAACACCTTTTGTCCTCGGCAATTTTCTTAGAAAATCAAGGAGACCGTTCCGTAGGAAACGTCCCAGGTGAAAGACCTAATCAGGAGCAGTAGATACCAAAATGTTCCCTTCGCTTCGTGTGAACTCCATCATCTGGCAATACGGCATGTTTTCAACCGTAACTCGTGGAATTTACGATATCGTGAGATCGTGCGATATATAGTTGGCAATATCGATCCTTCAAAACCCTTATCGCATAGCCCTAATTTAGAGTGCGATTTCATAACTTTTCTTGTAATGGATTGTCCGTACATGAATTAAGGTTGATCTATGGTGAAGGAGAGGTTCACTTGAACTGCTGTAAGTTCTTATGGGGAAAGTCATCATGAATCTTGTTTTAGTAGTAGTTTAGCATTAGCAATAACCAATCTGGGGGAAGTCGAGGATAAATTATTTTTAAATCATTCGTAATTTCATTGCGAACAATCTAAATGAAACGAAACGCCCCCAAGCAGTCGCTCGAAGTTACTCTCGCTGAGAAAAGTGAATTCAAGTTCGCCATTGCTCCATCTCCGACTTTCTCAGGACGGGGAGACGCACTTCCTGAAGGTCCACGCGCCCGAGGAGGTTCTCAAAGTCTTTGCGAAGAAACACAAGATTAAGAAGCCCATCAAGGTGAGTTTCGTCTCTCGTCTTCTGTTGCGATTGGACTTGAATGACAGCAGCGGATTTCAGTATTGCAGTTTGCCCTTTGTAGCATGGGATGGATAGGGTCTCGCATGCTCTTTTCGTTCGTAAAGGATGGATTCACATTTCATGAGATTGACGGACGCGAATGATGAGGAAGTGAAGCAAAAAGCTTCGAGGAAGCTAGCTAGTTTTGTCGTTGGAGCTGTTTCTTCGGTGAGGGATGAAGAGATCCCCTAGGGCAGGGGTGTCAAACATACGGCCCGCGGAGATGGTTCATCCGGCCCGCGGAGGTGGTTCATCCGGCCCGTCGCCTGTTCTTGAAATTTCCGCTTGGATTGACTGATAGCACAAATTTCGGTGAAAAAGTATGGGTGCGGTCGGCAGGATAAGGAATGCGGCCCGCCGACCGATTTGAGTTTGCCCTAGGGGAAGTTATAAAACACTTCTCGTCGAGCAGCAGTTAACTTGGCATGCACAACGGATACGAAAACCGAACGGTCTCTTGCCATGCAGGTTTTTGTTGCCGTTCGCACGGTCGTCTTTAGCTACAGGTACTTATAATGATATATGCGCGAGTTTCATATCAATTCCTCATTTGCAATGTGGGTATTACATTATTGCTCTGGGACGTGTTCGAACGAATCTTTGATTTGTCCGTGGGCTTTCCATGCCTCAAAATAGCATTTTAAAAATATGCAATACCTGATTTATCTTCAGGGAAAGGCTGAAAAATAATCCAAACTAACATGGTAAAACAACATTCGGGAACAAATGGCGAACACGATTGGCAAAGCGCAGTCAAAATCATCAAAAGCATCGCAAAATGAACTCTTTCTCCTTTGTCCATCATTAATGCCATGCGTAAAAAGAGACATATTTGGGCCTAATTGATTCCGTACTTTTGTTTCACCCTGTTCACAATAGTTATCCTCGTGATGCAGGGAACGACCAATCGGCATTCATGAAAACCAGTCCTACCTGCATTGTTGGAGTCTCAAAACCGATAAGTGTCAAACTAAGTGAAAAAGAAAGAGACTTTATATTGAAAAGTCATTCTGAATGGTTCCCAGAGAAGCCCCTGGGAAATTCCGTGTTATACACTTTAGTGAGATGAGAAATTGCATAATTGCAAATATGCTTTGTTCATTCTCACCCCTTGAATACTTTGATCAATTTAACATTTTAATAGATGGAAAGGATCATGTGAGTTTAATTGGTTTTATCGCTGTTCTCACTGTATTTCATTTGAAAGTTCATATCGCAGCACCTCCGAGGTAGTGAAAGAACTGACCGCGGCTCGAAACCGCCTTGCAACCAGCACAACATCGAGTGACTTCATTCAGAATTGATTTTCATTATCCTACAGGAAGTCGTTGTAGAGTGTGTTTCAAAAGTCCGTACTCATGGGTATTTTGAATTAATTAAATTTCTCAATGAATGAGTGCACCAAAATTAGTACAGAAGTACTAAGAAATATTCAGAGGGGGTTATGCGACAGGATTGATGTGTATGCAAGTTCGTGGCATGCAATTTGAACATTCAATGAAATAAAGGTAAATTAGGAAATCTGCCTATGTCTGGACTTTTGAAACACCCTGTATATTCCATTCAATTGCTTTAAAAGGAGGGGGGGGCTTCACTGTGGCGATTTCAAGCCGAATCTCTGAACTTTTCGTAAAAACTCCCCATTGCAGGTAGTGTGGAACTCATTCGAGCAATAGAGTGATATGATGGATGGATTTAATAGAAAAGTTGACTTCCCTCTAGGTCAAGCAAGACAAGCAGAATCGATTTTCCTTCTTGAATGTGCTCATATCCGCCTTTCAATTTGGTCAATCCATCTTGACTCGGAAGCATCACAGCAACCATTCAGATAGGTAAGCATCTTCTTTGGGTTGGTTCAAAAGTTAATTGTTTATGTTATGACCTCCACGGTGAGGCACGATCGCATCAGGACCTTTAAACTACACTATATTGCCAAAAGTATTCGAACAAGGCTCCCTCCGCCGATAGCAGATAATGTGATACAGGGCATTAAGGTATTCGAAAAGTATGTAAAAATGATCTTCAATCTCTTAGTCAGTGTTTGCCAGTATGGCGCATGGATCGGAACTGACGGAGTTTGAACGTGGAAATATGGTTACTCGTCATTTCGTCCTCTGTTCCAATATTTTTGGCTATATAGTATACATTAAGTCTGCAGAGAAAATTTTTGTGTTGCAATAGCTCTAAAGTTCGAGCATCCGCTTCGTTGAATGGATTGATATGCACTGCTAGGCTGAATTTTGAAATGAAATAGATCTCAGCGTTGTCTAGACTTCGAGTTTCCGCCAATGGCGTCGCGAACACCCCGATGTAAATAAACGAAATCTTAATCAATGTCAAGGAAACAAACTGCATACTCATCACACGCTCGACGTCGTAGCGCATAGGGCAATCTCAAACAGAGCAAGTTATTAAAATTTCCACCCAGTGTGTCCTAATCTTCAAATTACCTGTATTTAGGAAAAGTAGCATCTTCACCCTCAGAATACATTGCTTTGAGGTCTTGCATGTCGGATATTCCCTGTGCCGAATTCGTGAGATTCGTTGCAAACTGATTACATTCACCAATTCTTACATCCACCAAACCTTCATCAATATCTCAATCCGTCTCGTGCAATCAAATGCTCTCATTATGCCATACATTCGATACTCGTTAAATTCGATGAAGTCTACTTTAGAGAGTGAATGATGGATGAATGAATATTTGCATTTATTTGTAAACATTTCATGCACTCACTCTACCATTTTGAGAAAGGGAGGGATAAAAAAAAATGAAAATGCAGTGGTAAGATGCGAATCATCGTATTTGAGGCATGTTGATTTATCTTGCGTTTTGCAGTTTATTAGGTTCGAAACGGGTGGAAAGCACAAAGTAATTCCATGATTGGTAATTGAACAGATGTATGAGACAGATTCGGGATGAGGAATTCTCTCAAGCCCAGCGAATTTACATCGTGTACGAGATCCTGCGCACCCCTGGATCAGAAGACGGCGAGGAGGAGACTGGCATTCGAGAGCTCACTGACGATAAGGTATACCGGGGCTTCCTTTTCCCTACTGACGGCATCCTTTTCTGGCAGAGTTATTGCGCTTTATGTTTAAGGTGATTACAATGGTACTTCCGCACTTTACCGCACAGTGTCTCAGAAACGGTATGACATATGGAGCTGAAATTGCACATGGGTGTTACGGGGACCATGCGTTCAAAGATCCCATAGTTATCACATGTAATCAGGGTGCCACAGTGACTTAATGTCTCACTAATCGCAGCAACTGTTCAATATGTGCTCTCCAGTGTCCAGAAGGCATTACGAATAAATTTATTCAGAGGGACTATAACGTTCTTGTACTGTTTGTCTCTTTATCTGAGTTTTTTGAAACAGGTTCTTGTGGTACGCAGCACAAGCTTAAACAAAATCCTAATACCAAATAGCATACTCACGTTGAATCAACGTTGAATCAACGTTGATTCAACGTCATTTCGTCAACGCAGCTTACGTTGAAACCACGTTGCCTGTTAACATTGATTCTACATTGAAAGTTCATTTTTATCAACAATTGATTCAGCGTTGACATCAACAGTGTATCAACATTGATTCAATGTTCGAAACCAACATTGCAACGTTGCTTCAACATTTGCTTATCAACGTTGACTCCATATTGGAAATTCATTTTCTTCAACAGTGAAGAAATGTTGAATCCACGATAATTCAACGTTGATATGACAGGTCTCAACAATCTATTTAATTCTTGCGCATGCGCCGTTTCATGACTGAAGCATTATTTGAATATCATCTGGACACGATCTCCATCCTCCGAATCCGCTTCTTTAAGAACCCCCCCCCCATCCAAAGACAATGCGAACCTAATACTGGGATGAGAAAGAGGCATCCTGTTCCCCTGGAAGCAGGAGGACACCGGCGCGATTACGGTGATGTAATAAGAGGCTATCCTCACTCCACGCACCGTTCGGCAGTGATCATGATTTGGATTCGTCCTCGAAAACAGGGCGTCGTGGTCTCATGGAGTAATACGACCTCGCATACTTTCTTGTGTCCATCAACCTGCTCAGAATTATCCTGGGTCTTGTTTGGTTGGGTTGCCACATTGGTCGAATATATATCCAGGAAGTCAAATTCCTTTCCAGACGTCGTTTGCAGAGAAAATATCAAGTACTGTTCCAAAAGTACTAGAGACGCGTACTGATTGCATATATATGGTAACTAACCATGTTAGGAAAGTAGTCGCCATCACATTTCGCAGTCAGGAAATCTTGTTTGTTCGCATGTCTCGCCAGATGTCTCTCCTGACATCTGTTGATGTAACATTGATCGGACGGCGTTCTCTCAATATTGATCTTTTCAACATCGAATCAACATTGAATCAATGTTGAAGGATTGATACTGGAGCGTTCTTTTAATTAATATGTGAGCAATGCTGACGAGGTGAAGTTGTTTCGCGTGAGTCTGTCCTTTCTTTGGATAACCTATATTACTTCGATACGTGCTAACGGCATTCACTATATCAGGTAATCGTGTTACGCAGCAATAAAAAAATTTCATATGGGAAACACTACATGAAGACTATGTATCATCAAGACCGTCCCAGAAAAACACTTTCTTATTATTAGTAAGGAAAATAGGAAAGATTTCAGCAGCCATTACAGTTCAAGCGTAATTAGAATATATCTAGCTAGTGTCTTCACGTCATTTCTCCTACACCAAGCCCTTGATGGCCTACATAAACACGTCGGTGCCTATTTCGGGAAATAGGTCTGACAGTAAGGTTTTGAATCCTCCTAGTTATGTGAGCCGAAAATGCCATTCTGCTTGATTGGTACGACAAAATTCGAGTGCCTTTCAGCCATTGTCTTATTTGCTCGAAATCGAACGTTCCTCTTGAAAGAAATATCTCCTCGTAGATCGGCTGAAGTAATTAAGTAATTGGAAACACAGATGGAGAAAGCATTTAAAAAAATCATTTACTGCAATTACTTCGACCGTGAATGGTCCGGCATTGAATGAATGTTGGCCCAAAGCGGGTGTATAAACGGTGACGGTCACCGCGTTGAATCAATGTTGAAGTAACATGGATGTAACAACAGTGATGCATTCAATCCACACCCAGTCAACAATGATTCAACGCCTCATTCCAAACACGTCGGTGTCTATATCGGGGATGAAAATACCAGATTTTGCTTTGCGTCACCTAGGTGGCCCTTGTGATCCAACAGTCACAGGGCCACTAAACTCCATCGTCCAGGTGCCCCACCCCAAGGACTGCACATTGCAGCGTTGCTTGCAAAACCATTTTTTAACGATTTTTTTTTGCAAAAAATAATTTATTTCATCTAATCAAAAAGTCGGACATGCGACAGAATACGCGTTTGAATGCGAGTGTAGTTCGTAGAATGCCTCTCTCCCGTTGTAATGTTAGGGATTTCATGGAAAGGAAAAGTGGAGTTTCGTGGCGTAGTGGTAACACGTTTGCTTCGTAATCAGGAAATCTAGGGTTCGATTACCGATCGCGTCATTTGGTTTTTAGTCTTCTTATGCTACCTGAACTCTTCCCCCACCCCCCTCGGGCTATTACGTTCTCGAGAATGGATCCGACAGTCGCAAAGGCCGGAAAAAAAAGTGCTCTTCCGCGAGGGAGACGTACACCTTTTGACAGACAGAAGGCGCCGCACATGCGCACATGGACTTTCGGACATGCCCTCAAACCCAAGCATCGGAGGCTTCATATGCACGAACGCAGCTTCATTGTGTTTTTAATATATAGGACTAGCTGAAGTACCCGGCTTTGCCCGGGGATATTCAATAATTCATGCATGACAAATTGGGGCCTTATGGTCTCCTATAAGTTACCGATCTTGGGTGTCGCAAAATGCACTCGGATCCCTTTCCCTTTTAATTATTTTTTGCACGCTTTGAATAATTTCAAAATTTTTTTTTTTTTTAAGGGAAAAAAACATCTTGGTAAGATGCTTTTATCGTTTTGAGGCTTATTTTCTACGAAAACTTGATCAAAAGAATTTTACTTACTACCTACTGTAGTGATCCAGAAATGGGATTACCCCGGGATACTGTAATGCAGGTGGGCGGGAGGGGAGAGTTGGATGGCATGAGAGGACGAAAAGGAAGCTGGGGACGGCCAGGAATCGAACCCTCTCCTCCTGATCGTCGGTCAGGTATGCTACCACTGCACCACCGAATCCAGGAGTCAATCGCTCCTCTCGATGCCACCTCAGACGATACAGGTCCCCGGAAAAGTACCCCGGGAGTGAAAATTTTGGGTGGAAACATAGCCCTCGACCTGGATGAAAGAGGAGGCCATGCAAAGTGTGGTTGCACTGGCTCCAAAGGGTCCAAATACATAAAGGAACAGACAGACAGACAAACTTTCTTCTTTATATATATAGAGAGATATGTCACACCGATCCAGCCTCACAAAAGCACTTTCGTTCATTAGTAAGATAAATGCCTAGACATGAACATGTCCAAGTCAATCGATTAATTGGCTTTAAAAGTATATATACATACATGATTTTTATTGAAACTCCTTTTTCTAATTTTACGTTTGTATTGAGACAATTCCACCATGTGAGATGCTCGCGAGAATTTTTTTTTCCTTTTCGCTTGTTTGCTGCGATAGACTTCAGGCCAGGCGTCATTTCAGCCACCCTCTTATCTGCCCTAAATCAGGCATTTTTCGTGATCGTAATGGCCATTGGCTAAACTACTCAACGAACCATGATGAAGTACACAAAAAATCCTAACGGTAGATAAAAAACAAGGATTTTTTTTTTTTTACCGTGAAAGAATCCATTGAATCGAGGTTGATTTAATGTCGACACTTCCACCGTGAATAGTGCATGATTGATTCAATGTTGAGTCAATGTGGGTGTATAAATGGTGATGGTCACCGCGTTGAATCAATGTTGATTCAGCATAGAAGTATAAACCTTCAACAGTGAAACATTCGATCCGCATCAAATCAACGTTGAATCAATGTCATGTGCTACCTGGAAAAACTCCCTTGTCCTGATGCCCCAACCCCTAAGAAGGCTCATATGGAGATTAGTAAGAGGTGCATTCAATCTGCCACATCAGGTAAATGAGAACGATCGCTTGAAAGATGTTTAAAATAGGGGTTAGACCTTCTTCTGACCTCTATTTCCAGAAATTGAAAAGATTACTTTGTATGTAATGGAAACTCTGTGTAGAAACAATAATTCTATTGGAGTATTTTTCTTTTCAAATAATCACATTATCTGCCGCCACTTTTCACAAGGGCTGTACCGATGGCCCCATATGGCCGATGGGCCGATCGTCGATTATGATCTCTTACTTATTGGCCGGTGCTGGGGCCTATTGTGACGTGTAGAGGAACAGTAAATAACAATTTAACCAATTTTTTTTTTCACTTAACCTTTATCGGCCGAAAAGCCACTTTTGAACCACAAAATGCCTTTTTCCATAACCAAATGCAAATAGCAGATACAAACGCTATACTGCAACTTTTTGGGAAAATGTTCCGATACTCCGTCAATAATGATTTCACTATCAACTGTTTATTTTTAGGACAGCTGCACTACTCAGCTAGCCAATGTTTAGGAGCTTCGGAGAAAAAATCCGACTGCCAGCGTTTATGCGGGAGATTTAAATCCGGACGATAAAGGAGTAATAGACCTATTAGGAAGCCATATTCAATTATATTATGGCTGTCACGCTGGGGGTTCCGAAAACATGTATGTATCGACTTGAAATATCAATAGTGCATCGATGCACCTGGGGGTGGGGAAAAGAGGGGGGGAGGGGGGGGGGGCTGCCGGCAGATTCAGTCTTTTCTCGCCTGCGACCGGGAAGAGGTTTGATTTCAGTCGTTTCTCGCATGGATCGAGGCGCAGACTTCTCTCTCTGTCTTCCATAATCTCTTGGCAATGATCGGGGAGTGCTGGGAGGATGTGTGACCTTCGCGACGGGGTAAGAAAGCTTTCCATGCCTCCAACAATCGAAAATGACATCCATACATCGAAGGATGCATTGGGACAGCCCTGATTTTTTCTTATCGCTTTTGAGTATCAGTTACCGAGCCTCGTTCACGT